TTTATAACAGAGCGTTGTTATATCTAAAACGCCTCGCAAAATATTCGTATAACTGATGGACGAAGGTCCCAAAAATGAAAAGAATCATTTCCCTAGCCAAACGTAGCCAGCTTGCCGGCGTAGCACGGGTAAACCCATAATTTCCGTAATTTTTCCAGTCCTATCGAACCATTAAGATGGCATCGTTAAAGCGTCCCTTGTTGACTTTTTCCCAACACCTCGAAAGATCTTCTATCGGCGCCCGTCGTTAACCAGAAACGCAAAATTTCAATTCTTCGTTAGTCATCGCGTTATCTCATCGCGAATCTTTATGGTCCCGAGAGTTTATTACGACAAAAAAATTGCCTCTTACATCGGCATTGAGTGGAAGCGCTTCACGTGTGTGTCGTGTGGGATAAAAACGGAGATTAGAAGTGGATTAGACGCGGAAATAATAGAAATTCTTGAGACGGGAGTGCACTTATACCGGTCGTTCGGAAGATACACATCGAATCATGAATTATTATTGCAGATAACGAGCGCTTCGAAATTTAATTTAGTAGAGTGCAAACAAGTTTGTTTCGTAAATAACAGCAATCGATATCGTTTCATATAAAACGGTAACGACACCTTAGTTTTGAAGCTCGAAGGTTGCGATTGTAAAGGGAACGGTTCCGCTTGGATTTCTGCTTATTATCGGGAATAGAATTGTCGATTTTCCAATCCGTGGATCATAACGAAATTACTTAATTTGATTCAGAATAATAATCTAGATTTCTGTGGCGATTATGGACGAAGCAACATGACTATCATAAAAAAAATTGTCTTTGTCACTATATATTTTTCTTATTTTATCAGAAATGTGGGTAATTTATTGAATTTAGTAAGTAAAACTAATAATTAATAATTAGTAAAACTAATAATTAACGGGATCTAAAAGGATGAAGCAATCCTGTCCTTACTTTATGTAAACCCATGCATCGAGAAATATATGCTATCTAATAATAGTTTTATTCGTTACCATTACTTACTGTTACAATTACCCTCAAATATAGATAGAATGTTATTGATATAATCGTTATTCCCTTGGATCCTCTATCGTCGTAAGCAAATACTGTACAGTACTTAGATCCCCTAACTCGCCAAATTTGTTTGCGTCTGATTATGACAAATAATTTCCATTATTTATAAATAATTGTCATACTAAGCAATCAATACGTTTCAAATAAACAGAAACAACCTTTCAAGTTTCGAGTTCTAATAGAACGCAATTTTTTATTTTTGTCGAATAATAAATTAATAGGCTCCGGCAGTGGGTCATTTTGTGGCATGCCAAAATTATTTTTTGCGGAACCTACGGTGCTTAACTTAAAAGTTTAAAACATTTAACACGTCACAAATCGTTTAAAAACCATTTCCTGATATAAATTTTGCGAGAGAAATAGCTGGAAGTGTTTAGGTATGGCACATTTTTTACCAAATTCTTTGCATATAGCTGTTGATCTTAAAGGTAGATGCTTATGTACGTACTTGAAGTCAAATTAGGTTCCAATGTTTGGCACGTTTAAATGTAAACATTTATTTATATTATTTTATTATATTTATTCATTTATTTTTATTTACAACATTTCCAAAAAAGGAAAACATACCCATAGCTTATCAAACTTGAAACTAAAGTATAACAATACATATTAGTGGTATAAGAACCAACAACCGAGAATCGTCAAAAGGTAATAGACATGGGTTGCTTGTTCTGAGGGGGTAGCTAATCCAAAAAAATCGACTGCAATTTGCAAACCTGAAAGATCGCGAAATAAAACAACCAAGCAAAGCAGCAATCTTGCGCAAATAATATAATAATAATCATAATAAAATTGCTACTGTGCTGCTGGAGCGAACGAAGCCAAACAAACAGCAGAATTAGAAATAGGGAGAAAAGAAACAACATTAGTGGACGAGCATTGAAATAAATGATCACATATCATCTTGTTATAAATTTACGCATATATTGTTTTTAACTGAACTAATGGATATAGTAAAATCATTTATTCCCTAATTATTAATTGTAAAAGCTGCCCGGTAAAAAAACTCTTCTTTGTGCTTAGGTACAGTTAGCAAATGTTGTTAACCAATATTTATGTTATAAATAGGATATATTAGCTTACCAGATATATTAGCTTGTCATGCAGATAGGATGAACATTTCTATTTGATTATGTTATAAAAGCTGAATGCAGAGCACGCCGCTGAACCATAGAAAGCCATCCCAAGCTTATGGAAAATTTTCTGCCTCAGCCTAATCCCATATATTAGCCGCGTACAATAATTTTAAACTTTCTGTATGTGAAATTAAAACTGTATATGCTGTATAAAACACAGCCCTGATGGTGCTTGTGATATATTTTGCATTTTTTATGGAGTGTATTTAAGGACCTTGTGTTTATTCGGGATGAAGTTTGTTGTACACATTTCTGACAATGCTATCTATTCGCGGGCAATTTCAGAAAAATATTGCTATTAGAGTAAGTAAGTATTTAAGGTAAATAAGCGAAGGACGAGATAAAGTAAATTGTTTTACTTTTACGCGTAATCTAAAATTGTTTGCGAGAGTATTTCACATTCCAATCGAATTTATACCCAAGAATTTTATCATACACATTTCGCATGCAAATCATTTACGGTATCCTGATATAGACAAAATTTTCTACTGTTTCGATTGCAGCGCGCTGACATCTTTCCAAATAGGTACGTAATAATGCAATTCCTACGCGTTTTAGATACGCTCACGATTTCCATGTTTGTCGTTTTAAGGCTACTCCTTTTAATTTACCTAATGGGACTTATATGATGTGTGAAGACATAAATTATTTATTAGATAACAATTTCGGTTGAGTGGAAGAATATGTGCCGCAAATATCAGACGAAGGAAGATAAAATGTGAGCAAAACACAACATGGAAACGGCGCCTAAAATAACGAGCTTTAGACATATGGTGCCATTTCGACACAGGACAAGCGACATATCTATTCATTAAATGTGAAATTTACGTCGCTGCATATGGTACAGGTGTCTAGGTTGTGTCATCATTACTTAATTAACTGGCTCCAACTTTCTTCTAAATATCATCATTATTGTAATAGTTCTGTGAACCGAATTTTTCATTATGGCGACAGAAACCGTTCCGTCCACTCAGATATCGTTAGTGAATTAATAAGCTGTATTTAGTTTGAGTATACTTCAAGATCGAGAGGAGAGTGAAGAGAGTGTACCAAAATCTAAAAATGTATAGAAAATGCAAAATGCAAAAAAAAAATTTAGCGCCCACTGTTAACATTTTAAAATCAAAGGAGACGTTTCGGTTGAGGGCCCCGCAACCAGCACTGGCTGCAAATATACCGCCATATATTTTTGCCTTGCCTTGCTGTTTTGAAGACATGCAAATTTATGTGGTACAACCTAAGGTTTCATTCGGGCTCCAACAGTACTCAACTTATATTCTAGATAGTTTTCCATATCATATTTCACTGATTTCACATCTCGCCGAGCTCCGTCCAACCACTTTTTATATTGTAGAGGAGCTTTTGGAGCATTCACAGATTTTTTTTTAATTTTGTACTGGGCGCATTTGCACATTTAAGAACAAAACACCACTTTCTGTTTGGCACTTTTAATTCCGATAGAGTTCACAAAATTTAACAATTTAATTATTATGTGTATCGTAAAGCCAGCCGGCCAACTAGTCGTCTGTTGTGTCTGGCTATCAAAAATTATTTTATCGTTTTTTAAGAACGAAATCTATTGCTTTCAGTTAAAATAAAAAAATGTTGAACTTACCTATTAAGGTATTATATTGTAGAAATGGATAAATGCAATGTTATCGTCAATAAAAAAGGAGATAAGTAGAGGCGCCACAATTATCGGGACAACAGTTACACCCACATCTAGCCGTTTAGGTACATGGGAGGGTTTTTGGAATGTAAAAGACAGGAAGCAGAAGAGTTAATAACTGTAAAATAAGTGTAAGGGGATGAGTTTAACAATATGTATTCTATGTAACAATACATGAAAATAACCAAAACTAACCCAAAAAATAGGAGGATTAAGATAGGTAAAATTAGCTGTCAGGATATTAAACAAATTTCAAGGAAAAGAAATCTAATCATATATAATTAACAGCATAGGGAGTAAAAACGTAAAAATTGATGGAAGCTGCTAAGAATGAAATACGGGCAGACCAAATAGTTGTCCTGAAAATATAATTGGAAATGTCTATGAAACTACGAGTAAAACACGCCAATGTAACAAATAGCTGATATCAAAGAAACTATATCAGAAAAAATTAAACATCAAAACAACAAATGTGGTACGGTCACCTAGGATGCGTGTACTGCAATATCATTAAATCTTATAACGTCAAACAAAATTCATAAATTTGGTTCGATCAAATAATATAACTTGTAAGTGCAACGCCCGCCATCTACATTTAAAAAGCGCAACTGGGCAATTTATTTTCTTGCCACGTAAAGGATCCCATGGTGCCAGTAACGTAGCATCACAGATATATGAAAAAGTTCCCCTTGCACAATAGTGTGTTCACTCATTTGCAACATTGGAGATCTATTTTTTGCCGACATTTTCCATTTAATGAAATAAATTTAGTCAGCTTTGCTTCCTATTACTATTGAAATATTTTTAACTGCTTACCTAATTTTTATTGAATTAATTTTTCTAAACTTAAAAACTAAAAAAAAACTTCTATGTACGTGTTATTAGAAAAAATGTTAGGCTGACGACGCAAAAGAAGATATTATGTAAATTCGATGTAGGTTATCAAATCTTTTAAAAAAAATGTTTTTGTAGTCCTAGGTGCTCAAAAACTAATTATAACTTTCCAAAAAAAATTCCCCATCATCTTTCTATACCAAAACTGTATCGTAGCCTCATTTAGTACCTTGCAGCTTTAATATATCATAATAGAAACTTGGTTTTAATTTTATGTGTTAATTATGGATTTCTTTGCAGGAAATTTGCCAACGCCCACGATTTATAAGTGACAGCCCTTCGGAGTCATCCTATCGTTTCACTGTAGAAGCCGGCGAGTTGGGTGATCAATGGCTGCTGGCCGCGGTAGCATCTCTCGCACTTACACCGAAGTTTCTAGATAGAGTCGTACCCCCTGACCAAGGGTTTGACGCTGTCAGTTCGTACTGTGGAGCTTTTAGGTAAAAATGCATTTTTTACTTTGGTTGTGCGTCTACTTTTAAAAGGACCATATTGTGTTTCGAGGTATAGATTTCACTGGAACAGAAGAAAAACTGAAATCCATGCCCAGTACCAACAGTAAGATCTAAAATAAAAACAATAACGTTGATAAAACTCATCCAAAGTCTACCTCCATCCTCAATTTAATCCTGCAGGAAAAATTTATAATGTCTTTGCACCAGACCAGATATACAGGTTGATTCTGTATGAAGGCAGAACCTAGTAGCCTTAAAAATCTTTTTGGTAGAAGACTGTTTCTTTTTTTTATTATTCCAACATTCGTTAATATGATATTGCCATGTCAGGTTTTCGTAATTTCCTAATTCAGGGTACTTATTTCAAGTGCTGTAATTTGGTGGTGCTGCAGACTTTCTGCCTTTTAAAAAATTTCTAACTGTGATTAATATAATATATTATTAATTTTAAAAAAATAGTGAACATGTTTTACATATTTTTTAAGGGTTTGCTTTGAGGTATAGTCTTGTTATTGCCCTTAAGTAATAGATATAGTAATAGACGTCTGGCACGTTGCATTTTTGTGTGTGGGTTCACGATAGTCGTAGAAGACTCCAATTGGAATGGAGTTACCCGCAAGATCACCAGATTCATTCATTGAAGATATATGATAGATGATAAGCGTAGCAGGCTGAGTCGGTTGGTATACCTTTATAACTAGCTATGGGACATGGGGCAAGATTATCCTGAGCGAACGTATTACAGACAGATATTGATCATGTGCCACGAATATTAATAAAATGTTTTATATATTTACTGGGGCTTGAAATTTCTACACAGTATATTAAAAGATCAATTATAATTCGTTTGGGCAACTCGCGCGGGTCAATCCTACAACCCGGAATAAATCAAAGCGAAGTTAAATACACAAACGATCGCGATCGCCGATAAATTGAGGCGTAACGTTTCATCAAAATCGGCAACCGATTTTCAATCAATATATCATAGACACGAAGATAATCTGTCAATGACGAAATCCGTACCAAAACCACCTACTAGTGTAACAAATAATCTATTAATAATGTAGGATATGAAAAAAAGCGACCGTGAGAAGCGCCACGATCGGTTCTACGATCTTTTAGTACTTTGCGGCCGATTAAACTGTGATTTTAGCCGAAGATTTTCACGACTCGAATATTTTGTTCCGGGGAATTGTGAAATATGATCCCCATAAAGCGAAGTCAAAGACACCTTTATGGGATCGTATTCGGCTACGAAAATATAAATATCTTGGAAATGATTGCCGAATAAAACGGTATAAACCGTAACAAGTATTAAAAGTTATAAAGTTTATGAAAGGCCGATCTGCCACTCTTAAATTGCGCTCAAGGTGGGGAATATTTTGCTTGGCGTAAATTGATACTCGGATATTCTTAAGTAAGTAGGCGATGCGTAACTTTGGTGACTGGTTTTTCATCATCATTTTCTCCTATTCTGACAATCTTCCCCACTTATCGTTATGGTCTCCTTTTCCCGCTTCTTGCAACGTATTTCGTTCGTCATTCCGTGATATAGAAGTTTCCGAGTGTCTTATCTTATCGCTAGTTGTTTGTAGCTAGTAAGTAGGTACTTACAAACTACAGATTAGAGTTTGGGAGAACTACCGTTCAGGATCTACTGAGCGATAGTGGCTCCTCGGTGTAGCTCGTTACTTCTGGCTTGGTTATGCATTTTCAATAAACCATAACATTCTCTTCTCTTTTTCAACCTTCCTTTCATGGCTTGGTAGTTCTACTGTCAACTTGGCCGATGGCCTTCTGCGGAATTGCTTGTTGTTGTCCTGGCTTGTACTTAAACCATTGCCGAGAATTTTTTTTTATCCGTAAGAGGAGGGTTCTGATCCAATCATGTGCTTTAACCAGTCTTTTGTCTTCGCGCACTGTTATGAAAAAACTATTTTGGATGTTGCTTTTACGGATTTGATAGGTTTTATTTCCGCTTGGCTAACGTAGTTATAATTGCATCATCACGTCTCTTGTACGAAATTATTTGTGCTCTTATTGGTGGGCCATTTTCTAGTCTTTTTTGGTTGGGATTTGCTGTTGATAATCTTTGACAGAGCAATATTTTGGTGCAATTCTGTCCATCGGCGGCCTTGTTACCTATTCTCGTATTTGTTGCCATGTCCAGTAATTATCGCTTTGTATGCGAACATCCAAACTCAATATATTAAAATAAACTTCCATAAAATAAATCAATAAATCAAATAAATATTTACAACTGTCTTAGATTTTGTGAATGCACAACATTACTAATGATGGACAAGCAAGACTGAAGGTAACGAGAGGACTTGAGTAGATCCCAAAAAATCTGCAGTATTGATTTTGGATGGGCACAAGAACCTTGTTCAAGAAAATATTTGCCTGAAAATTGGGAATGAAATTATAGTGCCTTTAATTGTGAATAATAAACTGTGAAAAATGGAACTATAAAATGCAATATCCGGAGTATTTTGAATATGCAGAATTCAAAAATGCTAACAGTAATGTCTCTCCAGTTTTGGAGATATTTAACCATTATGGTACTTTTTACTAACCCGGTATATTGCCCTAAAACAATCATGTTAATAATAATAATAATAATAATAAATTGCCTTTATTGTTGTATATTGTGATATACAATTATACAGTAGAGAAGAGGCGAAGTCTGGCAAAAGCTACTCCACTTAACCTATTAAATGTTTAAATTGAAAACTAAATAGGAAGTTATAATTACATTGATAAATTAAATATGGTATAATAGATAAATGTAATAGTAATATGGAACAATAGAAAGTTATTAAAAGTAAAAATAAAAAGAATAATATTGAAAATCAAATTATTTCAGAAGTTAGTAGTTTCAACCTGAAATATTTTTTAAAGAATTTAATTGAATGTAATTTTACTGAGTCGGGTATACTATTAAAAATTACAACAGCGTTATAAGAAAATGATCTGCGGAGCAAAGATAAACGATATCGTGGTATTACGAAAGTGTAATTTAGCTCGTAAGTAGGACGGATTGGATGTGCTAATAATTTGGAAAATCATAGACGCCAAAAAGTGATTGAAAGTACTGTCAACTTTTAGCCAGTTCCTGGATTTTGTGGGAAATCCTATCAAATTTATGCAAGCCGAAAATAAATCTGCAACAGCTGTTTTGAATTTTTTGCAGTCTATATTTATTATTTATTATTATCACAGGCACATACATTCGGAGGGTCTTAAGGGAGAGTTCACAGATTCCCTAGTATTGTGTCACCGAGAAAAATGATTGAGAACGTTCTTCGTCTTTTATGTGTATTTAAAAGAAAGTATTCATAAATTGTATTCAGAAAGTAATAAAACACGGCGCCTTCATTGCCTGAATGCCAAAATTGTCTTTCAAAATCTGAATCCGAGGCACATCTTTAAAACACTATGCTAATTCATCTAGGATCACTCAAGCCCGTCTCTCTAAAGTCAAAATTAAAAAGTTCGATTGATAATTGAAAGATGGATTTAGGAAGTTTCAATTATCTATAGGCTAGCGACTTTTTCCAATTTTGTTACCGTCTTGTTAACTTAAAGGTATTTATTATTATTATAACCAATACGATCCATAAAAGAAACCCAAACTAATTCGTTTAAGTTATGCCGTTGCAATCCGTCCGACTAAATTCTTTAAATTTAACATTTGTCTCGGGCAAAGCCTGTAAATGAGGAAATCATCGGAACAAACCTTTGCACTTAAAATTTTCCACCGCATTCCGAAAAGAACGCCCGCGAATCCTTTTAACGGCCGGCAAAGATTTCGCATACCGAATACACCCCATTATTGTCGAACTAAATATACGGCCAAATCTTTAAGAGATAAAGTACGCCTGCTAAAGTACACTAATTGCACCGTTCAAAGCGGGCTCGCGGCCATCGCGCGTCTATTTAAGCAAATTTTACACCACCAGTAAATTCTAGAAACAAAGAAACAGCGCTGCGCACCACATCACCATTAGTTGTGTTGGTACATAGACTTTACATACCGATTTAATTCATGTTTATCACGTCGTATGCCGTACGGGGTTATCCTCTATCCTTTTATCTCGAAAGATGTTCGGTTTACAAAAGAAAGTATAGTATAGTAATTTGACTCAAGAGTTTATTTGGCAGGAGCGGAGCGAGTGTTTAATAAACGAGTGCAACACGAATACATTCACTGACATGACCGTCAGAACCGACAAACGTCAAAATTCAAGGCTTGGGAAATATTTCCGAAAACGCTCGGTTGCTTCCAAACCCGTGCGGTAAAATCCCGGAAATGTCCGAAGTGGCTCGGATTCGTGGGAAACGAAACTGACTTGGTAAAGTGACACTTCCCGCAAGCTAGATCGGTGTGTAATTAGCTATTTTACAGACGGGAGTAGAAAAAGTATATTAAATAGTATTATTTTTAAAATATATATATAAATAAATAATTAAATAATGGATTAATTTAATCAGAAAACAATACAAATGATCATCATTCTGGCCCCAACAATGGAGTAGCATTTTTTATGTGAAAAAGAAAGAAAAGGAGAAGAATCAAGCAGTAATGGTTACCTATAAGATACAAAAATAGGTTATATATATTAAATAAAAATGATCCTTCAAACATTTTTCTTTTGTTACGTGGTGGTGAAATAAGTATACAAAATCATAAAAACAAATTATGGACATCTGTTTGATATACATACTGGATGGACACGTTTTTTTTTTTAATAAATCTATGGTACATTTGTTAACAATATATATGTACCATATATAGTGTTGGGACTGGTGTCAATTGACCGGTCGATTGACCACTAGTCAAAAAATGTTGTAAATAACATCTAGCAATTATGTTATTTATCGCTATTTAATAATAATATGTATTTTATATTAAATTATTATGCGTTTGTGATGTCTAATTTACCTATAACCTATAAAATAATTATAGATTTAAGAAAACAAAA